CTTCGAGTGTCCCGACCGCAGTGACTCGGACGACGACGAAACCAATGGAGACCACGAGAGGTCTGGCAGCCGTCGTCCGCGTCAAAGAAACCAGCCGCAAAAAGAGAAGCAGTCGACCAAGTCGACCTCGGCAAAGGACGCCGACTCTTCCGCGGGTGGCAAAGGGCAAGGCGACAAGGAAGGGTCGTGCTCACTGGTCGGTATTGTGGAGCCGACCGTCTTGCTGGCGCCGGAGGCTGGCAAGGATTTCGAGGCGGTGGCGGGAGCTGTGCAAGCGAACCCCGCGGTGGTCCTGCTCGACAGCGGCTGCTCGCACCACTTGATGGGGACGAAGGAGGCCTTCGTCGACTTGGGGCCGAGTGGTGCCGTGAAGCACGTGCATGGCTTCAATGGAGCGCTGCAAGACGTTTGCGGCCGTGGCACAGTTGCGCTGCACGAGGAGGCGGGGAAGCGGGTGCTCATCTCCGACGTTCTCTACGTCCCGGGCGTGCAGACGAATCTGCTTTCGGCCGGCCAGCTGAAGGAGAGCGGGGTGACGCTGAAGGACGACGGCGACCGGATGCTGCTTGTCCCCGTGGCAAGGGACGTGCTCAGTCGTGCAACGTACACTGGCCAGATCCTCTGCACTGACCTGCGCCCATGCGCGGTAAAGTCGACGACAGCATGAGCATGGCATCTCGCTCTGCGGCAGGCCGTCCGGGTTCGCAACTGCCTGGAGCGGTCTTCCCTGCCCGTGGGAACAACGCCGTACCAGCTCCTCACCGAGCAGAAGCCCGACTTGTTGATGGCGCGAGTGTGGGGCTGCACGGCGCAATTCCTTGTCCCTGAGCAGCACCACGGTGGGAAGCTGAAGCCGAAGGCCAAGTGGGGCCTTCACCTCGGCGTGTCGGAGGAGAGCAAAGGCTGGGAGCTCCTTGACATCACCGCCAACCAGGTGGTCACCACGTTGGACGTGGTGTTCTACGATACTCTGTCGCTGGAGATGTGGAAGTCGGACCTCGGGCCTGCATCAGGGCGGACATGTCAGAACATTATAGCTTATGCTTTTGTGTAGGCTGTAGTGGGGTATCCCATAGGGGGTACAACCCAATTAGGGTTAGTCCTTGTACCCACTTCATTCATAGTTCAATCATTCTTGTTTCAGTTTTCTCATGGTATCAGAGCAGGTTCCCTCGTGGGAACTGTTCCTAGGGCCCTACTACTGCTTCCGCTGCTACTCGATCTGTCGCACGCCCCGTGGGGTGCGACCTTTTTTCATCTCGCTGCGCGCCTTTCTGGCGCGCGCCCCGAGGCGCGCTGCCTCGCTACCCCGTCGCGCCGCCCTAGCGGCCGCGTCGCGCCGCCCTCGCGGCCCCGATCTGCCGCCCTAGTGGCCTCGTCACTGACCTCTGCGGCCTCAGCGCCGCCCTTCCCGGCCCCGGCTCCGCCCTTCCCGGCCCCGGCGCCACCTCGGCTGGCCCCGTCGCCTACCCCAGCGACCCCGACGCCGCCCTTCCCGACCCGGCCCTGCCTCTGCTGGCCCCGTCGCCTGCCCCTGCGGCCCCGACTCCGCCCTTCCAGGACCCGGCCCCGCCTCTACTGGCCCCGTCGCCTACCCCTGCGGCCCGGGCGCTGCCCTTCCCGGCCCCGGCGCCACCTCTGCTGGCCCCCGCGCCGCCTCTGCTGGCCCGGACGCCTACCCTGCGGCCCCGGCGCCACCTCTGCTGGCCCCGTCGCCGCTCCACCCGGCCCCGCCGCCGTCCCCAAGCGGCCCCGCCGTCACCACCGAGCCGCCGGCGCCGCCAAGCTAGTGCCGAGCCACCCGAGCTGCCCGAGCCGCAGCGCCACCTCAGCCGCCCGAGCTGCCGAGTCGCCGAGCCGCCGAGCCGCAGTTGCTGCAGTGCCGCCATGCCGCCGAGCCGCCCGAGCCGCCCGCACCGCCGAGTCGCCGAGTCGTCGAGCCTGCTCTTCCCACCACTAGTGAGCCCCTGCCTTACTAGCGCGCTACCTGCCGCTTGCTTGGCTGCCTGCCTTACTACTGCTACTACAACTGGCGGCGGCCAGATGCAGCTCCAGCGACCCCCACGCGCGTCTCTCACGCCCCAGCAGCTTCGTGAGTGGTACGCTCCGAGTGGAGGGTCTCTCAGTTCTGTTTGCTACTCTTACGTGATTCGCACTGGTGCTCGGACTGGTCAGCCTTGTGGGACGCCTAGTCACACACAGTCCCGCTGCTTCGCCCGTCTGAGCGACGCCTGGCGTACCAAGTTTGGCGACGAGGCTGAGCTCCCCGACTAGGTGGAGTTGCTTAGGCAGAGGGTAGATATATTTGCTCTTGACTATGATGCTATTCTCACTGCCATGTATGCATTGCCTACTAGTGCTGACCGTGCCGGTCTCCTGTGCGTACCGCCTGACCCGGGTATCGAGCCTGCTGCTCTAGCTGCTGGTAAGGCTGCTGCTCTGGGTGCTAGTGTGTCTCCTGCTTCAGGTACAGGTGCGGCTGCTACTCTAGGTGCTAGTGAGTCTGCTTCCTCAGGTGCGGGTGAGTCTGCTCTCTCAGGTACCGCGTCGGCTCCGGCCTCTCACACCTTCACCCTTGACTTGGGGGCTTCCCGCTCCTTCTTTCGAGACCGCACCACACTCACGCCGCTTGGTCGGCCAGTTGCAGTCTCTCTGGCAGACCCCTCTGGGGGCCCTGTCCTTGCTCACTTCTCCACTGTCCTCGCGTGTCCGGCGGCCCTCTCTGGCACCCTGTCTGGTCTTTACCTCCCTCGTTCTCTACTAACTTGGTGAGTGGTGCTGACCTGCAGGATGCGGGGGTTCACCAGTTCACTCCTGTGAGTCAGCGGGTGACCCACTGCACGGACGCTCCGACAGTCCGACACCTGGCCACGTTTACTCGTCGGCCGAGGTCGAGCCTGTACACACTTACCAGTGCCTCTCCTCCAGTCCCTGCGTCCGGTCACGTAGCTGCATTGGGTCAGGTGTTTGCTGCAGCGTCCAGGTCTGGTCCTGAGTCTGCCCCCTGCTCGTGTCGCCTCCTGTCTCACGAGACTCTCCTCTGGCACCACCGCCTTGGTCACCCCTCCCTGCTTTGTCTCCGAAGCATGGCCTCCCGTGTCCTTGTCTCTGGTCTTCCTTAGTCCCTCCCTCCCCTTCCTCCGGGGCCTGGCCCTACCTGCGTCCCCTGTGTCGAGGGGCGACAGCGGGCTGCCCCTCACTCCTCCTAGTTTACTCCGACAGAGGCCCCGCTGCAGACGCTTCACATGGACGTGTGGGGCCCGGCCCGCGTCCGTGGACAGGGTCTCGAGCGCTACTTCGTGCTGGTGGTTCATGACTATTCGCGTTACACCACAGTCTTCCTCTTGCGCAGCAAGGATGATGTCACTGAGGTGTTGATCGACTGGATCCGCGCAGCTCGTCTGCAGCTCAGGCAGAGCTTCGGCTCGGACTTTCCTGTTTTGCGTCTGCACTCTGACAGAGGCGGAGAGTTCTCCTCTGGCCTTCTGCGAGCCTACTGTCGTGCACGAGGCATCCGCCAGACCTTCACGCTTCCGCACTCTCCACAGCAAAATGGGATTGCTGAGCGCCGCATTGGCATGGTCATGGACGTCGCTCGTACGTCTATGATGCATGCGGTTGCCCCCCATTTTCTGTGGCCGTTTGCGGTCCGGTACGCGGCACATATGATCAACCTTCAGCCCAGGGTCTCCATGCCGAAGACCTCCCCAGCCTTGGTGTGGACGGGGAAGGTTGGCAATGCGTCTGCGCTCCGTGTCTGGGGATCTCGGGCGTTTGTTCGCAACTTGTCTACGGACAAGCAGTCCCCTCGTGCTGCTCCTTGCGTCTTCCTGGGTTTCCCCCCTGACGCGCCAGGGTGGCAATTCTACCACCCCACCTCTCGCCGTGTTCTGTCCTCCCAGGATGTCACGTTCGACGAGTCGGTCCCCTACTACCGTCTCTTCCCCTACCGCACTCCGTCCCTCCCCCCACCCCCGCTCTTCTTGGTACCAGGTCCCCCCCCAGTAGTCCCCCTCCCCCCTCAGGGTCCTGCCCCTTCAGGTGTGTCCCAGGTAGACGTTGTCGAGCCTGTCGAGGTCGCTGGTGACTCTGGTGCTGCTGAGGGTGTTGAGCCTGAGGGTGCTGACTCTAGGGGTGCTGACTCTGGGGGTAGTAAGCGTGTGGGTACTACGACTAGGGGTGCTAAGCCTGGGGGTGTTGAGTCTGAGGGTGCTGAGCGTGGGGGTGCTACACCTGGGGGTGCTGAGCCTTGGGGTACTGAGCCTAGGGGTGCTACGCCTTGAGGTGCTGAGCCTGAGGGAGCTGAGCCTGCTCGTGGGGCGTCTGGCCGTGCTGAGCCTGGCGGTTCTCCGGGTGCTTCGTCTCGCCGGGAACCACTCTCTCCACAGGAGCTGCGTGAGTGGTTTGCTTGGCGCTGGAGGCGAGCTGCTGGAGCTGGAGGTGCTGGGGGTACTGGAGGTTCTGCTGCTGCTGTGGGTGCTGGTGCCGCGGGTCCCAGCGGTGTTCTTACTCGGAGTACTGGAGCTGCTGGGCCTGTGGGTACTTCTGGAGCGGGAGCTGCTTCGGGTGCTGGCGCGGAGGCTACTGCTGTCGGTCCTGGAGGCGGTCTTGCTGAGGGTGCTACTGGTACTGCTAGAGGTACTGGAGCTGGAGGTGCTAATGGTGTTGGTGCTGCCGCTGGGGGAACTGGTGCTGTCCTTGCTGTGTCTGGAGTCACCGCGCGGCCTCGGTTGTACTTTGTTACGCTCCTTCAGCAGGTTCTTGGTCTCCCGCCTTCTACTGGTGCTCCTCCTCCCTTAGAGTGTCCACAGCCTGTCCCGTCACAGTCACAGTTACAGCCGGCCTCCCCACTGCCTACTCCGTCTCCCTACACTGGTCCTACTGGAGGTCTTGCTGAGCGTCGTGAGCCTGCGTCTCGCCCTGCGTCGCTTGTCCGTGCTGCTCGCACTAGTGGTCGCGGTTCACGTCAGCGTCCTCCTCCTTTCCCTGGCACGCACAGGATGTCTCTGCGTCCGTCCACTGCTCCTCTGCGTGCCCCTTTGCCTTCTCCTCCCGAGTCTTCTCTTCCTTCTCTTGCCGACCCGGAGTCGGACTATCTTCGTGCTGCCAGTCCTACTGTCACGCGTCTCCTTACTACTGTTGTCACTGACCCTTCCTTTTAGTCCACTGCTGCGTCTGCCCTAGTTGCTGAGCTCGTCGACTTTGCTGCTCGCTGTCGTCTAGACTACGCTGCCAGTCTTGTTGCAGAGTCTCAGTCTGTCTGTCCTCCGTCCGTTGGGGGTGAGTGTGCCCTTGGTACGGACGTCCTTGAGGACAGGCAGGAGGAGTTCCACTGCTTGGCCGCTGCTTCACCTCATCTCGTGTTCGTACTGCCTCCCCCTGAGGGAGACACGGATGCACTTGACATCCCGACTCCGCGCTCTGACGCGGAGGCGATAGAGGGTCCCTACTCCTCTCAGTGGCAGGCAGCTATGGACGTAGAGATGGCTTCCTGGAAGTCCACAGGCACCTACGTTGACGTCGTTCCCCCTCTTGGGGCGAACATCATCAGTGGCATGTGGATCTTCAGAGTGAAGCGGTCGCCGGGTTCTCCGCCTGTCTTCAAGGCACGTTACGTGGCTGGTGGCTTCAGTCAGCGGCAGGGAGTTGACTACTTTCAGACCTTCTCTCCCACCTCGAAGATGACCACTCTTCGGGTACTGCTGCACGTTGCTGCTCACTGTGACTACGAGCTACACTCTGTGGACTTCAGCACTTCTCTCGCCAACACGCGAGACACCACCCTGGAGTTTGGCGGTGGTCCGGAGTCACTGTAGTTGGTCGGCTTCGTGGACGCCGACGATGTGGGTGAGAAGTAGAACCGGATGAGCACGGGCGGCTACGTGTTCGTCCACGGAGGGTCCGCGGTCTCCTGGTCGAGCTAGCGCATCAAGTGCACGACGCTGTCGTCGACCGAGTCGGAGTACGTGGCGGCCGTCGAAGCCGGCAAGGAGGGACGTCGCCTTCGCTTCCTCCTCGCGGAGTTCCAGCGGCTGGACGCTGGGAAGCCGACTGTCCTCAGGGTGGACAACAAGTTGGCCATCACGGTCAGCGAGGGCATGGGGTTGATAAGCAACCTCAAGCACATAGAGCGGCGACAGGCCTGGGTGCAGCACATGGTGAAGCGCGGGAAGTTTTTGCTGAAGTACATCCCGACCGCTGAGCAGCCAGCCGACTTCCTGACGAAGGCGCTGCACTACCCGGCCTTCAACCGGTGCTCCGTTGCAATCGACCAAATGCGCCTGGCCGATGTGGGCAACGGGGACAACGACATGCAGCAGTAGGTGCCATGCTCTTTTGCATGGCTGGTGCGGTGACCGGCGTGCTGTGCGTTGTGTGCACGCTGACGGGCTATTCTCCAAGCAGTACTGCTGTGTGGGCCGTGGGGGGGGGCCAAGCGTGAACGCGGCAGGGGAGTGTCAACGGGAGTTGTATTTGGCCCCGTCCTCATTTGGGCGAAGCCGACCGTGGGAGCCGGTCGTAACCACGGGGGACCGTGGGAGCCGCGAAACCACGGGGGAAATCGCGGGAGGACCGCGGTGACCGCGAAATCGCCTGAGGACCGCGAAATACCCAGGCGACGCGCGCGAATGTCGCCGGGGGTGTTTTTTGCGAGTACGATCTTGGGGGTGGTATCCTAACGTCGACGTGGCTGGTAGGCGCCGTCACGCGTGGAGTGTCTGCGCTGGGCATGTGACGGGGAGTTGGGCGCCAACCACCTGCACGCACTTGCAAAGCTGGTGCACCATTGTCAGGGGGGTGCAACGTTGTGCAGCTGACTCACTGCAGCGCTGGCACACCGTGGACTTGCAACGTTGGCAAGCCGCGACTCTGCTCTGCTGGAGCGCGGTCGACCAATTCGAGCTGGCACGCGGTCGACCGTGCTGTGCTGGCAGTCGACCAGCAGCCTTGCTAGGTATGATGTAGTCTGTGTTGCCAATGTTGATGCAATGATTCTGAACCTTTGTTGTCAGGTTTTCCTAGTGAAGCTCTTGCCAATTTTCCCCGTGAACTAGCAAGTAGTGTTAGCACTTGGAAACGACTAAGGAACGAACGAACGCTGCGATCACTCTTGCCTCGTGCCTAGTCCGTAGTCTAGCGACCGTTGCACAAGTTATCTCTGCATGGAGCATGCCCGAGGTCGGGTGGTCGACCCGGTGAGGACGACCTGAAGGCGCCGATTTCGTGGCGCGGGTCTGGTAGTCGTCGACCTGGGTGGTTGTCGAGTACGTACTGAAGCTGTTGGTCGCCGGGGTTGCCCGGTCGACCAGGTTACCCGGATGACGGGTTTCTACGGAGACACCCGACGGTCGCCCAGGTGTTAATGGCGTGGCTGACCTTGGTGTGATATTCCGAGGTTGACGTGAAGGATCAGGTGCAGACACGCACGTGGTTGGAATGGCGCATGCGCTGTGTACATGACGAGGCACTGGGCGCCAACCAGCTGTGAGCACCTGCAAAGCGGGTGCACTGCTGTCCTGCAGGTGCAACGCTGAGCAACCGCCTTGCTACAGCGTTGGCACGCCGCCAACTTGCAGCGTTGGCAAACCGCGACTTTTGCAGCGTTGGCAAACCATGATACCTTCGGTATAGCCGACTTTTGCACTTACCTATTTCGCTCGTAGGAGGGCAGCTGTGTTAATCACCATGGTGGGTGCTGTACGCTGGTGTAGTGGATACCCTGGAGACATAGTTGGCTGATACGAGGAAACGCCACAAGGATGGCAAATACGGGGAGACTCTCCCCTTGGAGGTCGTTGAGCAGAGCATCCGCGCAGTGTGGGCGATAGAGCACCCTTCTCGACCTGCCTCTCCTCAACAGGTGAACAATGAATCTGGCGTTGACGTGGGCGTCTACGCCGGTGACCAAGTCGGCAGCAGAGAGGAGTGATACACGCCGACAAAGTCGGCGGCGTTCATGCACGAGGGCTGCAATTGTTGACGACTGCAGGCTCCTTGTACGGCGACATCAGAGGACGTCGAAGTGGTGTGTTGCCGGTGTCGGCGACCCACGTGACACAAGGTTGGATCGCACCAACCTACGGCTACTTCAAATTCATGCCGGACAGGATCGCTGTCAGCCCCCCGCTAGTCGGCCGCCACGACCTCCTCACGTGGAAGGAGGCCATCGAGCCCCAACTAGAGATGGCCAGCTTGATGTGCTTCGCCAAGGGTAGTGAAGATGCCGCCTGCGAACAACGCCCCGTTGCGCGCGGAGTTCCGCGCCGTGCATCCGCTCACCTTCATCGTCATCTCACGATGTTGCTCGCCCGCCGTGCAGATCATCTTGAAGACGTACAGGAGCTACTTGGACGCCGGCCACTAGGTGTGGCAGTTCATCACGTCAACGTACCAGGTCACGGACGACCTGTACATCGGCCAGCAGGAGGAGCAGATGACGCATCTGCGGATGGGCGAGCAGGAGAAGGAGACCAACTATTGCAACTGGGGTCGGTTTTTGCTCGCCAACATGCGGATGGGCGAGCTGGAGAAGGCGAATAATTACTACACCCAGGCTCGGCGTTTGCTCGCCAACATGCGGATGGCCGGCGTTCAGTACTCAATGGCATCTTACATCACGCATGTCCTCAAGGGGCTCCCGAGCAGCTACAATCTGATGAAGCGGCTGTCGGTGGTGTCGGACACGTAGGTGTCGCTGACCTCGTTCATCCTCGTGGATGAGGTGATGCAGGAGGCGGAGAGGTCTACGGAACTCCTCCCGCTAGCGAACTACGTCTCTCCGACAAAGCAAGGAAGTCGGGCAGGTAGCGCGGCAAGCCTGGCGATGGTGATAGCGGAGGTGGGAGGCCGGCCAAGGACGCCGGCAAAGGGAAGTCAGCCAAGGATGGCGGTCGTGGAGGAGGAGGTCGACGTCGGAAATGCTGGCTATGCTACGATCCCGACCACCTCGACCCGTGTAGTTGATACCAAGAGTAAGTGCGTTACCTACCCATATGGTTGGTACAAATTGTAAGTGCGTTACTTACCCATCTAAATAGTACCAACAACTAGTGCTTTACTTATCCATATGGTTAGTAACAAGAAGAAGTGCGTTAGTTATTGATGTAGTTAGTACCAGGAGTATGTGCGATATGTACTTACGTGGTTGGTACCCAGAGTAAATGCGTTCCTTACCGATATGGTTGGTACCAAAAAAAAGTGCGTTACTTACCCATATGGTTGGTACCCTGAGTAAGTGCATTATTCATCAATGTGGTTGGTACCAAGAGTAAGTGCATTATTTATCAATGTGGTTGGTACCAAGAGAAGATGCGTTACTTACGTATATGGTTTGGTACCAAAAGTAGTGGCGTTGGTCGGTATGAAGTGACCCATTTTGGAGAACTTATCGATCACCACGAGGATGGAATCATGTCCCCGTGAGGTCGAAAGAAGTCTTGTGATGAAGTCGAGGCTAACGACCTGCCATGGCTGCTCCGGGGGTAGAGGCTGAAGTAACCCTGCTTTTTTCTGCTTGCTGCTCTTCATCCGCTGGCACGTGTCGCAAGAGGTGACGAACTGCTGCACGTCTACTGTCTGTTTGTTCAGTGCGCGGTAGTCGATGCACATCCGTAGACTACCGTCTGGTTTTGGAGTGAAGAGAACTGGTGCGCCGTAGGGAGAGGTGGATGGGCGGATCAGTTGTCTGTCCAGTAGATACTCTATCTGGTTTTTCATGTCTGTCAGTTCAGTCAAACTCAGTCGGTATGGTGCACGTGAGACGGGTTTCGCACCTGGTTCCTCCACGATCTCGTGCTCGTGGGTGCGTGCTGGAGGTACGCGTGCAGGTAGGTCGTCAGGCATTATATCCTTGTACTGCTCCAAGACCTCCTTCACTGCTGCAGGTAGCTCGGAACTCGGCTTCTCCTCCTCTGTTGCTGCCATAACCAGTGCTAGGTAACCCGTGTTACTCTTGTTCACCGTCTGTTCGAACCGTGCCAGTGTCGTTTCAGGTATGTCCCCTGTATCCGTCCAGCTTCGCAGTGCTATCCGCTTCCCATTGATGTAGATGCACACCTTGCTGTTGACCCAATCCATCTCGGGGTTGAACTTCTTCAGGAAATCTCGCCCCAAGATAAACTCTAATCCTTTGATGTTGGTGACAGGTAGCTTCGGCTTCCACCTCAACGCACCTATATGCAGTTGCAATGATGCTTCGCCGTGGATAGGAAGCTTCGTACCGTCCACCATGGTTGCTGAAAACTGGGTCTCTTCCGCCATCTCTCCAAATTTCTCCAATGCTCCGCGGTCACACACCGAGTGAGATGCACTGCTGTCCACCAGTGCCTAGAGGCGTGGCCCATTGCATAACACCTCGAGGAGTAGTGGTTTTTGCTGTGCTGAGTAGCCAAAGAGGGTCTCGTTAACAGGACCTTAGGGTACATCAAACTTAATACCTTCCCTTTTTCCTAAACCTGACTCAGCGCTTTCCAACTTCACCTGGGGGGTAGGAGGATTTTTCCGAGGCTTGCATAATTTTTCCTGAGCCTGGATGTCTCCTCTAAGCCTTGGCAGCTGTGTAGGCTTCTCCTGTGGGCGACCGGGAGCCTTAACACTGTGCTGCAGGGAGATAATATTAACTCCACGGAACGCACGACCCTTCTCTACGCTCCGTAGTATTTTGCCCAGCTTCTCAGGTACCTGAATAATTTCTAAATGCTTTTTCTTGGCCTCTAGACCTCCCCTGAAATTTTTGAAGGCTTGTAAACCACGAGAAGCAATATTCTTCGTTAGAGCATCTTTATAGGATACTTTTAACGAATTCTTACTTTCGTGG